AGAAATATTCAGACTTAATATTCTCAGGCTTATTAATCGATACGTAGACAGACATTAAGGAAAAATAGCTTTGTAAATAACTTAAAACTAGACTTCCAAAAATAACCGGTTCTTATATAGTAAATACTTGTAAATTACACGTTAAACACTTGCCTACTCCAAACAGAAAGCTTGAAGGTAGTAATTACTGCTCGGATAGACTAGTGGGTTATTAAAGTTGCTCAGGATATGGTAATTGTTAAAATTACTGTAAATAAGTCCATTCTAGCCTACCATGTGCTTAAGTCGGTAAAATACCAACATTTCTTTAATTAAGAGGTTTCGCTATATTTTGTATTGGATATTGGATGGACTAATACTACTTTAAAAGCAGCTCCCCAATACTTAATAACTCTATTATAGTGAAATAGAAATCTGAAACCAAAGAGAAATCTTAAAATTCCGTCAAATCTCTGCCAAACACACGCACACACAATCAAATTTACCTACACGGTCAGATTATTGAGCGGAGTGAAGCGAAGCTCTTATACTACACTCCTGCTTTTGTTTTACAAATACTTCTCCTGAACGGCTAAAGTGATCTGCACCAAATTTAGCACAATCATATTAATCAACCGTGGGAAGGTATCAATCTGAAATGGTAAAAATTTGTACCACAGAGCTTTTCCCTGCGTGAATTTAAACATTAAGAAATTTAGCATGGGCCTTATTGGTTAATTGGTTGCCATGACATTATTTGCGAGATAACAATAACAAGGTGAACAAGAGTCCCAACAGATGTTAGTCAACAAATCATCTAAATAGCACATTACAAATACCATACAGAGAAAAGGGGAAGAACAATCGGATTAATATCATTGAGCATAATTTACTACAAAATGAATAACCAATAATTATGGTCGCCGGAATAAGGCTGATGCTCCATTGACTTTAAATAATCCAAATAGCCATTCCATTTATGTGAACCTACAATTGAGTTTGGATACCGCAAGTAAACAATTCGTTTACGTGAACCCGGCGTATCATTGACTTAAAATACTGCAAATAGACATTCAATTTAAGTGAACCAGGCGTAGGCCTACCATTGACTTTCGACAGTGTAAAAAGGACTTTTATTTATGCGAACCATATGTATCATTGAGATTGGATATTGTAATTAGACTTTTAATATATGAGAACCAGATGAAACATAGACTTTGGTTCCTACAAGTAGACAATTTGTTTACGTGAACCAGACCTATAATTGACTTCGAATACTGCAAATAGACATTCCATTTAAGTGAACCAAATATACCATTGACATAGAATACTGCAAGTATTTAATATCATTTACGAGTAACAGATGTAGAATTAACTATAAACAAGTATTGGATTAATATGCTAGTTTCGCTCAATATTGCAAGCAGCAACTGCATTGTACACCTAGTTATTACAAATTACTGTTTAATTGGCTACAAATACAAGGACTTGGTACTATTAAACTTGAAGAGGTTCTTTGTAAGGTGGATAAGTATCAAATATCCAAATCCGCTCAGTAGGTTGAAATTACCTTTTTATATTTTGGTTCGATATGTTTGTTGATTTCAGTCAAGTACACAAACTTCAACTCTAGTGTTGTAGAAGAGGACAGAGTAACTAGTGTGAGAGAGAGAGAGAGAGAGAGATGTCACGACTAGTTAGTTCGTAGTGTTTTACATCTTTACACATGTGGTATGAACATAAACACCAATCATAGCCATTAGCTAGTGTCAACAGTCCAAGTGTTGAAGCCCCTTAGCCATATTTGGTACACACATGATACCTAGTGTGAAATAAAACTGAGAATACCGATTTAGAAGTGCGTTTTCAAATGTTACGTTTACGTAAAATCTTCACGTTACGCTGTAGAATGAATGTAGCGTGACAAATGTCAACTCTTAAAGGTTGACGGTCGGTATCAGTCTCATAAAAGATCCGTTGTTACTCAATTTGTGAACTTATTTCTATTTTTGTATTTCAACGTCACTAGGTTTTAAATTTTGTTAAGGTTATGATGGAACCCGTTGTTTTTTAACTGCATAACGTAGGTGGCGAATACCCCTAGCAAAATGTAATCTGGGTTTAGCCATTGACTTTTCCCATGTAATTAGACATTTTAAGCAACATCTGTTGATATGGTCTACCAATTAATGAAAATATTCTGTGTGAAGTGATAAATCAATCAGCTGTTTGCCATGATACTGCATTTTTTCCTAAGACGCTAGGCACGAATTGATTTTCACATTACTCCAGGCTAGACTTAGGGTTGCGGCATCATCACTTAGATGAAATCCATTGGTGACTAGGCGGAATTTGAACCCAGGACCTCAGGGACTGAAATCCCGCGCTCTAAACACCAGCTCGCTACCCCATGCCCATAAAATGGGTCATCAGAGCCCTCTGAAGGTTGTATGATGATACTGCATTGATCTGAATTAGTATTTAATCCAATACACTAGTACCCCCTCGTGAGATGGCCCTGAACTTAATCCATTTCCCTGGCATCAAATTACATTGCATGGCAAGTCTATTCTGAGTACAGTCAATGGTTTAGCTTGAACCTCAGTATTGAAATCAGCAAAATTTGCGCATTTAAGGCGAACACTCCAACCATTTTGGTACACAAAACAGCAACTGCCTCGTGCAATATTAAAGCTAAATGATTGAAAGAAGTTTTTGTGTAAATTGTGTTTTTAATATACGTCTGTAAAATAGTATTAATTGTTGATAAATAAAATTAATAACTTTGGTTAATTAAGTATTTTGTTTAATATTGTTTAAATATTTTAATTAAAAAAGAACTACAAGTAAGAATGATTGTATTTCTGAGACACAAATCACTACGCTCTAGTTTCAGAATTAATTTAATTTAATACGACTACTCAGCGCCAATAACAATGTCTATAACTATCAATACCAAAGTAAAACTTTGCAAACGCAAAAAGGAAAGTTAGTTGGATGTTTGGAAGCGGTATCTAAGCAATCGCTAGAACAAAAAGTTGAGCTGTCTCGCAGCGTAGGCAGTAAAAAGCACTTTCGGCTCTCTGTTATAACAAATGGCTTAGCAAAGTTTGAGTAGAGCTTATCTGCCTTACGACCTAATACTGAATAGGATATTATAAATAGTAACGACCTGAAATGTACCATTAAATAAAATTGAGGATGTCTCAATAACAACGACAGATCCACCGTTATATGTTCTGACTTTTAATTAGAAAGAAACCAGTTACAAAAAGATTTTATAGCCTTACATAAACTTACGGAATTTTCAGCTACACTAGAATGGGAAAATACTGTCTTAGCAATAAAATTTCAATATTATACTTCCGAAGTAATTGTTCCTCCAATTCATTTTCCATTCTTCCCCGAGATTTTCTTTCCTGAACTCATCCTAAAATGTGTTTGCACACTCAGCTATGGATAAATTTGATCAATGAGTGCTTTTTTTCTATTTTATTTTAACCTCTAAGTAGGGTACTAACAATAGCTGTATGCCATGATTATGAGTCTAAAACTTTATTAATAGAAAAATGTATCGTATTTATACATATTTTTCATTTAGGCCTAATACAAGTTAAACAGCTAAATGATAATACTTGAACAACCAGTTCAACGTTGAATAAAATTGATTTAATTGAAGCACCAAATGCGTATCGATAATCATATATTTCGCTACAATATTTACAACAGTTAACTAAATTATATTTCTAAGCAAGGGATCTACCTAGGCCTCTTAGTGGGTGGCTCAATATAGGAAAGAAAACTTTAGTATTTTCCTTGCAAGTAAAAAAAAGACTAATTGGATTTTTACTATTAACAAAATAAAATGAAATATTGAATACTTGAAATACAACAAGATTGTAACAGACAAGTATGGACGTGTTGTCGGGGTACTCGTTGGTAATTAAATTAAATCCTGATAAAAATCTATGAACTCGCAAATACCCACTCGTACATTAGTGTGACGAGTGTCTGCCATTAAAATATAATCCGCCTTTGAAATCAATCATAAAACAGTAAATGCATTTAATTAACTGTAGCATTGAGTAACTATTGAATTGTAAAAATCAAGTTTTCCATGAAACTCAAATAACCACGTTTGCAGTCTTTTATGTAAATTAGTTGAATTTAACATATTCTAAGCTGATTTCTGATTTATATTTAAATATAGGTCTTATAGTCTACTATATAAGTTAATTATAGTATAATTACCTTAAAAATTCAGGAGAATATAAGAATGTATAACATAAGATATAAGTATAAAGTGTGATTGTATAATATACTGTACAATATGGTGTGTCTGATGAGGTCTATTGTAATCAGTGATTATTCAACGACCAATAAAATACTTGATTTCTCAGAGAGTCTATTATTAACCACCCAACGTAACTAAACTACATTGGGTCTTCTACAAAGGAAATTTTAAATTTACTCACATTCATAGCTCAAATAAACACAGAGTTGTAGTATATGTAAAATTTACAGAATCTTACCATTTTATGCAGTATTTGACGCAAACATAAATTAAATGTATTTTAAAGGAATGAATAGTTATACCGTTATATGAATACTATACATTATTGATACCCAAGTTTTTTTTTCATAGCAGGGCTTAGTAGTATATATATATATATAGTAGGGATAGGGTGACCACTATCAGTTCTATAGTTTAAATATTTAAATGCATGATTAAGGGATATTTTCTCTTTATATTGTTATGCCTACCAAAAACGATATTGTAAATGTACTTAATTTTTTAACTTAATAATTAAGTCATCTTATCTTGTAGTCGGTTCGTATTGTAAATATTTATTGATTATATAGGGAACTGTATAATATTGTAGTTGCAAATGGCATCTCCGTGGAATGAAAAAAAACGAATTACTCTTAAAAATGTGTACAGTTTAACAAATACGGTAACAGTTAAAAAATAACCAAGAATTTGATGATAATAATAAAACATGATTAAAAACGTACTTTACCTTATAATATTTCGTATCCAAATTGCCATCCTGATCTTAGAGGCCATCACATCTCAAAAACACATCACAACACCCAATAACAAATTCATAAATCACCAATAACACAACATTTACGTCAGTTTTTAGTTGACAAAATATGTAAATTCATGAGTGCCACAAATCGAAACAACAAAGATCTAACAGTTCACTATTTTTAATTATCGTAAGCACGACGGACCAATCAGTGTACAGCGCACGACCGCACGACACCAGACACCGCACCGGACTAAACATGAATGATAATCTACTGGAGAATGAATGAGCGCAGCGCTACTAGCGGACGGATATTGCAACTACAGCTGTCACCTTATCAGCTGACTGCTCCGACGTAAACTCGATTTCATTGTTGTCAATATGTTTAAAAATACGTAGAAACATTGTGATTTAAAAATGTATCATTGCAATGTGTATTTATGTGTAGAACGTATGCATTTTGGAATTAAATAATATATATTCTCAATCCAACCATATTAATTATTCAAATTTTAATCAACGAAGAATAATTAGCAATAACAAGCATTGTTATTTAAACCAATCTATGTATTAGAAGTATCTAATTATCCAATTAATTAACATTTGTTATAACTGTATGTCCTATCGTAAATGGCATTGCCGTGGAATAAATAAATAAATAATTATTGAGCTTACATTGTTTTTGAAAATTTCTTCCAAGGGTAACCCATTGTAATTAATGTTACAACATTTATGGAAAGTTTAAATTATATTTTAATTGTTAATATAAAAGAGTAGTTAGCATGATTTCAGTTTGTAATGAATTTCAACAACTTCACGTTTTTACATTTTGTTTACGATGATTACTGTAAATATTAAAATCATTTGTGCTGATAACGATTGGGCAAGCCCCGACTGAACTGGTCTGCTTATTTCTTCATTATTTACGTTGTGAATTAAATAAATAAATCCACCTATTTCTATCTATTTAATTATTCCCATTATTTATTTTGATGGCAATTTTGTCTTGGATAAAAGTAAATAAATAGCTAGTTATTTTGCAGTAATATTATACATTACGTGAAAATGGAAAAAACGTTAATTATAATATATAGTTTTAAAATAAATTATACAAAAAACTATGAAACTCCTCTGATATTAAGTTATAAAACAAAGTGTGTGCGGCACTGTAATCACTGCAGGCTGTCGCTTACTCACTATAGTCATACATAAAAAAAGGCCTTTTGAACATACGCATTTGTTTAACCCATATTTATTAAAGCTTAACTGTACACTTTAGTTTTCATCTTTAAATATTCTGTATTCAATCAATTAAAAAAAAATCAAATATCTCACAAGTTAATATATTTTTTTAACTTCTATGAAGACAGGTTCAATACTTTACGAAAAGAAAAATATCGCTCTGCGTATTTCAGACAGTTCTATATTTTCTGTGATAAGCTGTAACCAGCTGTTACTTTCTTTGCTGCTTTGATTAGTTTTTCTTCGTTCCGATTGCCACACTTCCCGAAGTTTCGGTTTACTAGATCTAAAACTGCCACGTGTAGACAAGATTAGTTAAAGAGTTTTAAATTGGAAATAAATGTGATACGAATTATATACACTTATTGTAGAAATTCTTAAACGAAAGTGTTTCCATCAATTTTTATTTTGATGAAAATCACATTATTGTAATTTTGTATGTTGTTTGGGGAATTCGTAGTGTCCATAGTTTTTATTACGTATATGAACGTATTAAAATATATATTTATGTTTTAAGGATGTAAGCTACTTCTTTCAATCCCTTTGTACATTATTGTCTTTATCTTCACCTTAAAATAATACATTTACACTATGATGTGTATTTTAACTTGAATGTCGTATTATTTGGGATCAAGAGTAGAATCTTAAATATTTTTTTTCATATTGTATAATTTTTCTGTTAAATATAAATATTTTACTTAATTTCATGTGTTCAATCAAAACTTAGTTGTTTGCTTAGTTTTGGCCACCAACGCAACATGTCACATGTCTAAACATGCTATCACAACGTCAAACGCAGAACTGTGTTGTTGAATTTGAATATCCGGCATGTCAAAACTAAATCTAACTCGATTTGTGGAAGAGCATTTCACCTTAGAGCACATAAAAAATATCAATACAGTACGTGAATCATCTAAAGCAGGATAAAAACGTTGCAATAGTAAACAGATTCAGGTTCTTTTAAAATCTATACACATTGATGAATTGTTTTCGTAAACAATTTTTTTAAAATTATTTCACTAAGGTAAACTTAATTTAATTGTATAGTATATCTTAGATTAAATAACTTAAACTCACATTCTTCTCTACGGAAATTTAGACAAAATTTAATATATCTCCTGAAATTTTCCTATAAAATACATTCGAAGCATCTTAAACCACATAAGTAATATAATTGAGGATGTATCTAAAATGAGAGAGAAAAATTTATTTTCTTTTAATAAATGGTAGCTTTATTAAGATCGATTACAAAGTGTGTGTTATTCCTTTTCTTCGCTAGTATAGGCCTAAACAATCCTCGGTTCTAAAAGTAAAATTGCATCACCAACAGCATGTAATACCAGGAAAAATTAATTTCAAAATAAAACCAGAAATACACATTTATATTCGCTAAAACCTGTCTCTTTTCATACTTGTTTTACATCTCGTTAAAAACTTAACGAAGAACCAGCTGAAGTTACATAAAACCAAGATTAATCAGGTAAGCAGTAAAGTTTTAACTCTTGGATTTAATATTTAACAAGACGCAAAGTCCCTGTGGGTTTGAGCGGCTTTTTACAAAACTTCTCTATCAAAGTTTGGTGATCATTAACCACCCAATCTGAGTAACGAGGCCTTAATTCATCTGAAAATTCGATTTAACCCACGTTCATTAGCATCACTTTCCAACTTTGGAAGTTTCAAGCTAAAAGGTAGCGTTTAAACAATTTTCCGCTTTCCATACACGTGTTGCTATTATTTTGAGAATTACATTGTTTGAAAATATTATACAATTTTTTTTTGTCCGTGTATTTTAATACTTGGTGAAAATTATTTTATAAATGTGTAAATGTCACCATAAGTTCTATTTGTCTCTAACACTCTCACATGGACCAATAATTGGACAATAGGACATAGGACCAATAATTAATACGATATTAATTCAAGCTAGGTTAGGTTAGGGTTGTGACATTATAACATGAGTGGAAGACATTGGTGGTTAATGACATTCGAACCCGGGACCTTGGGGACCGAAGCCCTGCGCCCTAATAGTAAACTAGCTGCTCCCCCCATAAATACTCTTACATATGATAGTAGTTAATCAACTGTGTAAAAACAATAGACACTTTATAGTTGGTTGTATACTGCTGCTTCTAAAGTATGAGTAAATTAATCATTTAAACAAATACTGATATTGTTATGCATATTTTCAGTAGGCATTTGCTTACAATACAATTCAACGTAACCAATCTACTAACAAACTCAGAATAATTCACAAAATATTATAAATAAAGAATACCATGTTCTAAATTCTTACTCAATTATTTTCTCCTTAAAAATATTCAATATAATAGTTGCTGCATTTTAAAACACACAATTTTATTTGTATTAATACGTTTCGAATTCCTGCTGGTTTTAAAGCTAAAGCTTATTTACATATAAAGAAGTTGAATTTTAAAGGTAGAATTAAAATTTCCTGTTTTAAAGCATTTTTTATAACATAGCAAAATACAAATTATGTAATAACATAAAATAAAAATAGTTCATTTTCAAATTACTTTACCGTTTACTCTACATTAAAGGATAATTCAAAGTAATCGATACGAATACTGATGAAAGAAAATTTCTACAAAAAGTAGTATATGAAACATGTTTGCATCGTATGTAGAAAAAAAAAACAAAAAAACAGAGTTTCGATAGATACCACTTAACTCAAAGGCTTACGTTTGCATTCTCGCATTACTATAACAAATCAATAACTAGGAGAATATTGAAGATAGGAAGCCGAAGACGAAGCGAACTGATAAGACTTGTAATCGGGGTTATAATGAAGGCATTTCCAAGCCTTTGACAGCAAATGATGCGAACTACCATGTCATTAGATGGATGGCTTACTTCCCGGGTCGTTATTTCCATCGTCAAAACATACAACAAAAACAGTAGTCGCGTTGTAAAATCAACTACAGTTACCGTATGTTCCATAAATTTTAAATGTTTTTTCGTGTATTTTTTCGGGTTATGTCCCATGTTATTTGTATAGTACAACATTTCTAATGAATTCTACCATGAGAAATATTTTAACAATTGCTGATGTTATGACCTGATGATGGGCTTCACCAGCAGCACGAAATAGCAGTAGTTTCTGTAAACTACCAAGGCTCGTTTTGACAGTAACCAGGTAGTTTAAACATAAAATAATAGTTAATACAATCCATAGGAAATACCACTATTCAATTTTAATTTTGATTAAGCCTATTGCGTATAAATTATTTGACGAGAAGGATAATCAAATATTTAGGCCTACAATTAATGGTTACGAGCTTTTTTAATTCTATTGAATTTTGATTAATCTACAAAGTTGTATTATTCGTCCGAAGATATTTCAAAAGTATTTCATTGTTGGCCTTACAATATATTATTACATACAATTGGACATATTTCTCTTGTGTGTAATATTATTTGTTAAAATAAAATACCCCACCGCATTAAACCAGCAGACTAAGCGAATTTCTATTTTCCTGGATGGATTTCTACAAAAATATTCCCTTAAAGTTTTCAAGATTTATTTCCTATAACATTAATTTTAATAAGTACCTAGGTTTGATGCTACAGGGGAGGTATTGAGGTGTTTTCGTTGGTTTTTACGGTAATAGCTTAGTATGAAATAAACTAAATCGAATAACTGGATTAAAATCTAAACATAAACACACTACATCAGTTTATTTATCAGTTTATTCTCCATAATAATATAATTGGAAATTTGAATAATTTTTTTTATTATCCCCGTAACCGTTAGGCATACAACAACTCTTCAATGTACAAAATTAGGCTATTTCTTTTTTAAGTTCTACAAAATGTTTTAGAAAGAAATTGTTAAAGTTTGTGTTTTTAGGGTCAAAAATGGGAAAACCCAATTTTTACCCCATAAACTCTCGTTTCCATAGTCCGATCATGTTGGTTCGTGAAATCGTTCGAATAAACGTAGGTTTACACGTTTGTACCAAATTA